GGAGGTATTCTTTCTTCTGAAAACACAGAGACCTCCCCGTTGAGACTGCGTTGTCCGTTTTGTCTTCTTGTTGCACAAATGAAATCGGTTTTATTGCAGTTTATTTGAAGCGGGGCGATGCATTTGTGGTTCTTTCTGTTCAACTTTCAAGGACGAGACAATGTGACTTTAAGGGTCAGGAATTGCATAATGTGTAACATTTTCTGGCGTTTATTTTTATGACAGAGAATCTGTTTAGCCTAGCAAAACCTAAAAGCCTCACTTTCACCTCTCAGTTTCCTCCCTGTCCTTCAAAAATAAGATTACAAATGTAGCTCAGCTTGAGTCACACAGAATTGAAACAAATGGACCTTTTGAGCAACCTTTAACGATATTTCCTGCACAAAGAACTTTTTTCCCGGCCTCCCACAGCAGTATGAGGTTTCTCCTCTCTGAAAATCCACAGAGCTCCAAATGACCCATTATTTTCTCTCCCCAATCACCGTATCGATCGCACGCTCTGAGTGGAGATTTAAGTCGGCACTGTGCATCCGCGGAGAGTTTCTCTCTGTGTAAGAGAATCTCCTGAGTTTGTGCATAATCCCTGCAGCTCTAGCTACTTACGCATTCCACCGTCTCCACTGGTCTTTATGCTGACTCAGCTCCCCGTTCTCCCTGGAGCTCCAATCAGTTCACAGACTTGTGGGTCTACAGTGAAGCAAGTTAAGAGAGATCAGCGCCAACAGTGATTGACAGCGACAACTGCTCCTCTTCAGCCTTTGAGTCGGATGTGTTGAGCTCTCGGCACCAAAGAGCGTATCGTTATTTTCATTTAGGCAGATCTCAGCGGTTTTAAAGTGTGATTAGGATAACGGCTGTGGACACTTTCAGTTTTACGCTGCTGGGCTCAAAACTCACCTTAAAAATCAGAAATAAAATGTTAAGCATTCAAAACATTAATGGATGGAAAGTCAAGATGGACAAGGTTTACAGATGTGACAAAAGAACAAACCTTTCAAAGTTAGATGGGGTTAACCGGACTGGTTTTGGACCCGTGTGGGGGAAATCACTGTCAGATTCTCCACAACAACAAGGATCAAAGCATATCTGTGCAACACTAAGAAGTCTGTCATGTTCATTTTGTTTTTACTCTTCAGATACGAAGATCATCTCTTTGCTGATGTTAGTTTGATCTTTTCTTCCATTTCATCAAAGCTCTAGCTTCAGCGCTGGCTTCCTTTGTGATTTCCTGCCAATTCTAAAGTCTGTTTCTGTGTAAAATCAGAGATCACAACAAATACTTGTTTAATTTTAAGTTAATAATCATGTGATATTTTGAAGGTTTCTAAAACAACCTCACATGAAACCTTGTGGAGCCATCAGTCCTGAAAGAGATATGAGCCATTTTACCAAACAGAGGCTGTTCAGCTAAGAGGCACACTATGATGTTAGCTGGTACATTATGATGTCACAATGTTGTTGTGAGCCTGTGTGTTTGTTTGTTAGCGGCTCTGCCCTCGGTCTGCCAGGCAACAGCATTTGTTGCATTTTTCAAACACTGAATGGGAGTGGAGAAAGACTCTGGTAGGGGGTGACTTGCTCTTTAAGTAACAGTGACTCTTTAAGACAGCTAGAGTTCATAAGCTTGACTCTCCCATATTCCAGTCAGATTTCACAAAGCACCTCGGATGAGAAGTGAAACGTCTTTAAGAAACCCCCTTTGGGATCGCCGTGACCTGATGACTGAGTACCTTCACCAGCATGCCACTGAACTAGGCTCAGCATCACGACACAGAGAGTTTCTCTTGCTTTGTAATGTAACAGAATGAAATGACTGTTTTCCACCAAAAGTCATTTCCCCCTCTCCTTTGACACAGAACTAGTCTGCATGAGATATGGCCTCAAGGTCTCATGCATTTGCTATAATACTGCTCCTTTCCAGCTCAAGAGAAGAATGAAGAATGAACTCTCCTTTTAATAAATCAAAGAACTCTATTTTAATAAAGCTAATCAAGCAAAGTGTTAGTCAATAATAAGATGTGACCAATCTGTGAAATCAAAATATTAATTACTTTATTATAATCCTATAGAATATAACTAGTAATATGACTTTAAATGTTTCCACTAGGACTGATCTCACGTAGCGTTAAGACATGACACGTTACTTTACTGATCCAATCAGAATCTGCCAGATCTGACGGAAGTGTGGTTTTGGTGGTGCTTGGTAAATCTGTCCCTTTTTGATTCGACCATAAATCAAAACATCCGAAGTATAAAACTACGCCCACGTCATCTTTAACGCCAGTTCAAAGCGTTCTAGAGAAGTGTCGGAGTGGCCAATCCGTAACTTTCCTCTTCAGCCGAAAGAACCAACGACAAGCTGGATAAAATCTGTTGCTGTTCCAACTGCTGCAACGGTTCCTTTCAGAATAAAAGCTGAACCATCACGACCCAGGTTTGGGTCTCGCTAGACGCCAACAAAATTGTCGTGACCCGGAAGTATCTCAAGACTGGTGGTTGGCTGCCGCGGCTGTTTCTACAGGCTTCGGCTCCATAAAGGTCAAGCTGGACCTCTACACCTCCTGATCTAGACGTGGACTTCCGCTAAGGGTACGTAGACCGACAGAATGGCGTTGAATGTGTTCACGAATCTCCTAACCAAAGCTTAGGATGAAGACATCACCTTCAGTTCCCATCAGAACTAATCGCTTCTTCGGATTTGCTGGTTCTGAGCAACATTCCACATTACACCGTTTAAGTTAGTCTAGTTTAATTTGCTTTTAATAAATCTTTAAACTTTTAAACGTGACTCTCTCTCTTCTGTTGTCTCTGAATTAATATGAAGTTGTTATCTAATCCCTGCATTAAAAAGTTCCAATCTTCTGGTTAAACAGTACCCACAGATCCATAAGGTTGATTTCATATTTGCTATGGAATCTTTTGTCTTATGGCTTATTAAATAACATGTAATTTTAATCATTACAGTGATGTGAAGAAACAATAAAAATGAGTTAGTTTTTATTGTTTCTTGTTTTGTTTAAACCAGGGGTGTCAAATATGAGGCCCGCGGGCCGGATTTAACCCGCTTGCGGGCCGGATCCGGCCCGCAAGCGGGTTAAATCCGGCCCGCGAGATGGTTGTGTAAACTTTATTTTCATACTTTACAATGTAGAGTGAAAATAAACGTATCTTTGTGAGCAAGTTTCCTCTGTAATGAGTATAAATAAAACAAAGCTGCGCTCAAGGCTCACACAAGAACTTGAATCCCATCCTGAAGATGGCCGCCACTCAGGATGTGACTTCTGATATTGACGTGCTGGTGAAAGCTAAAAGATGTTAGGTAAAATTAGTCAAATATACTTTAAGTGCTGCATGAAACAGATCTAGCCATGTGATCTGTAAGTTCTTTGAATCACTAAGGAATGCTTTATTTATTGATTGATTTTTTATTTTATTTTTTTCAAATTTTCAAGTACACTTCAGGTGTTGTACTTGTACTATTTTGGATACACTGTCCTCAGGCTCCAGCCTTGTTTTATATTGATTGTATTAAAACAAAGAAAACAATCTGAAGTTGTTTTTAATTTACCGGTCCGGCCCACTTGGGACTAGATTTCCCTCAATGTGGCCCCTGAGCTAAAATGAGTTTGACACCCCTGGTTTAAACTCACTATCAATAAGCTGTAGAAGGAAGTCTGGGTATCCCGAACATAGCAATCCTACCTCAGGTTGGTTTTTCTAGCTTGTTTTAAAGACTGAACTTCCTTTATCCTTTTGGTTTGTTTTTAGAGAACTCTTTTGTCTCAACTGCTCAATTTCTCAGTTAGGAAAACCTCTTGGCTGACATGTGAAACATTATTTAATAACACAAAAATAAGTCTAGTTACCTTAGAAAAAAACTCTTTGGAATCCTGGTTTCGTCTTGGCCTTCAGGACAAAACGCCAAAGAAAAGTACAACCAGCTAGATGACTGAGAAAACAGCCCAAGGCGATAAAACTAAACCAGTACAACACGAAAGCCAAAAGGCTTTAATAATCGCATTAAAGCCCAACACAGTTTGACCCTAAAAAACTAAAAACTAAAGCGAGATTCCACAAACCAAGGTCACAAACAAACCCCAACTGGAACCGCAACTCTGCAACTGTAAAACACTGATAAATTATCAGCATTAGTTCATATCAGATACCTGCAGTAATGTTTAATCTTGTTTGTAATTAAGGATCAGGTCCAATATTTGCCTCAAGTAAATGTTTGTGAATGTAACTTCATATTTAACCAGTGTTGGATGGTCACATAGCTCTAGCTTCAGGGTTGCCATTGACAACTGAGTGAAAACGCTCTGGTCCTACAAACATTTTAGCTGAGTAGCTTCTTTTTAAAATTCTTATTTTTTAGTATTGCTTCATTCTATGTTCTGTTCTGTTGTTCTGAGTGTCTTCTTTAAATAAAATACCACTGGAGCCCTAAAACGTGTGTTTTTAAAAGAAGCGTCTATATATCAGTGTACTTGATATTTCATTCCTGCTCATGCTTGCAGTCACATGACGTAGACGTGTGTCTTAAGCACTCCTACAGATTTGTCACCTGTTGTCATACAGCATATTTCATGTAGTAAATTACTGTTGAAACACGGAAACTCCTGCCAAGTCACAAAAAAGAAAAAAGGCTGTTGGTAGTTGTTAGCTGTAGTGGGAAGCTCTACAGCGTGTCATTAGATTTAAGAGGCCAAGCAGCTAATTCTAGGGCTTCTTCATGAAGATGGACTCCTGCTGATTACGCCTCCTCTTCTCACTGATCTTTCTCTGAAACATGCTCTGATGAGGTCCTACTAGTCTTCTTTCATCCATTTGAGCTCAGTACAATACAGTTTAGAGACATGGCTAAATGATGTCAGACGTTCCTTTTTTTTTTTTACCCAAAAATCGCCTCTTATGGTCAACTTCCCTGACTTACGTTGATTAGAAATAGCCTCTTTGCAGCATGTGGGTAATGTCAGAATTACTGCTTTTTCTCCGCCCAGTGTCTGTGGGTTATGAGTATGAGTCGTGTCCTGGTGCCATCCAATGGGAAAGGAGGACAGCTCTGATGCAGGGATTTGAACTGGTGCCCTCCAGCCTGGGAGGATGGTCTCTGGACAAACACCATGCCCTCAACATACGCAGCGGTGAGTACACGCTTCCTTTTGTAAATGACGCAGTAGAAATTTTTCTGGTTTTTAATTTAGGAATGAAAAATGTTTGGAGTACGGAAGCAGATTGTTGTCGATGCATGGAAAACAATGTTGGAGTCAGCGGAGCTAGGATTGGGACAGTATTACATGTAACTTTTACCAAGTTGTGTAACTTGTAACATGTTTTGTAACTGCAACCTTTGTTTTGTAACAAGTAATTCTCATTTTGTAACACATAATTTTCTATTTGTAACAAGTAACTTTTGTTTTGTAGCACGTAATTCTCATTCTGCAACATGTAACTTTTGGTACAAAACATGGATCTTTCATTTTGTAACCAGGGGCAGCTCCAGAAACTTTTGATGGGGTGGCCAGACGGGCCAAAGAAATGTTTGGGGTGGCACACCAAATTAGCCCTTGTGGTAACTCTGGGAAACTTTAGCCTTGGCGATGTACTGCATTGCTCTTTATTCGTTTTTATAAAAAAATGTATATATAACAGTATGTATCCGAAACATTTTACTTAAATTTCACAAACACTAACATTTCAGAAAAATACATTACAGTTATTTAAATTGGCATTTCAAAGTTCATTTTAAAATGAGCTTTTTTTTTGTTTGTTTGTTTGTTTAATTCACCTGTTGCTGTGTTCACCAAAAACTATGGAGATAAAACCTTGGTGAGCACCAGAAACATATGTATTTTTTTCTGATTATTTCTTTACTCATTAATTGTATTATTTTTATTTTGTTTTACAATTATGTCTTGAATAAACAAGATCAATATATGGTTTGACTGAACATTAATAGATTTATAAACACTGGCGTTTCCTGGGCGGGGGGCAGCAATTTTCCAGGGGTGGCCATGGCCACCCCTTGGGGTCGCCATTGTTTGTAACTTGCAGGAAAAATAATTTATGTATAAGTTTCGAATCACAATTTTCAAAACACACATCTCAGTCAACAGTTACAAAACATTTTGTCCCAATTCTAGTTTACCTCCCAAAAAACCAATGACAGGCTTTGTCTTATCAGCCAATCATTTGTCTCAGATATGTTATCCTGTTCTACTTCAAAATGAAGGTTCTTTATTTACATCAGTTTAAGTTCTCAAAAATGTACTGCCACCTGCTGGTAAAGAGTAACACCTGGGACACACCAGGGGTGGACGCATCTGCGCCGTCATTTTAAATAGAAGCCATTATAGTTAATGAGAGTGGGCACATGAGGAGCGCCACGCCGAGGTGCTGGAGATAGGCGCCAGTTCTATCTCAAGTGCCGCAGCTGTTTACAACATTGTGGAGTACTTTACAGCAGACATTACGATGCGGAACGGCTTTATGGCACAAACCACACCGCTATCACAAATCCAGCCTCAGTTTTTATAACTTTAAGTACTATTGATCTTTAAATATTTTAATAAATAGCGTACTTACCCACTGTTAATGAATTAGAATCTCACAAAACGCGACGGCAAGTCTGATCACGTATAAACAGTCACTTCCTGCTTCCCGTTCTCAAGTCCTGCGTGATGTTGTGACTTTCCAAGAAGCGCTCAAGCAGTGCCACACAGCACGTCCTGTGTGACCAGGACGGTGTGTCCGCCTCCAGCGTGCCCTATGGCTTTAGAATGTAAGCATGTTTGGTTGTGAGCAGTACAACAGACTTCTGCCCTTTTGCCATGATTGGACAAGAAGAAAAACAAGAAGAAAAAAAAACGCAGTTGGCTGATTCAGACAAAGCCCGTCATTGGTTCTTTGGGAAAGGAATCTAGAATCGGGAAAAAATATTTTAGAACACGTGGATAAAAATTTTGTACATGCAGACTTGTGTTTTATAACTGTAGACTGAGATGTGTGTTTTCAGAGTTGTGATTTGAATCTTGCACATTGATTTTTTTTATGCAAGTAACAAAATGAAAGTTTCATGTTATGTACCAAAAGTTACATGTTACAAAATGAGAATTACATACTACTAAATGACTGTTACGTGTTACAAAACAAGAATTACATGTTACAAAATGACGTGAAACAAAATGTGAATTACAAGTTTAAAAACTTGGTACAAGTTAGATATAATGTTGTCCCAATCCTAGCTCTATATGAGCTGTGTCTTGTAACAACAAGAATGTTTCTCAATATAACGAGATATAAATCTTGTTATAATTAGAAACGTTTTTGTAATAACAAAAATTGAAAGTAGTTTTAACAATATGTTTTTCATCTTTTAACCCTTACCTGACATTAGAGCATTTTTTGTGCTGACACGTGTATTTTGGTGAATAACTTTGGGTATGTTAATGCAATTTATCTAATTTTTATGGAGGATGTGTATTTTGGAAGGAATTACAAAAAAAACTTTGAAAAATATTCAACCTACTAAATTAACACGTGGAAATCATTTTGAACAGTTAAGCACATCAAAGCACTTTTTTGTGCCATTGACTTTCATGTAAATCATATTTTTAATTAGCATAAATACTGGCATAATTAAAAAAAACATGATTGTGCCCATGTTTACAGTCTCATCACAAATGTAAGAAGCCGTTTTTACCGTTTTTCACTACATGGCGTACTTTCTCCATATATACAGTTGTGGTCAGAAGTTTACATACACTTGTAAAAAATATAATATAATGGCTCTACTGAGTGTCCCGTTATTTCTAAAACTCTGATTTTTCTCTGATAGAGTGATTGGAACATATACTTCTTTGTCACAAAAAACATTCCTGAAGTTTGGTTCTTTAATGTCTTTATTATGGGTTAACAGAGAAAAGTGATCACATTTGCTGGGTCACAAATATGGACAGCAACATGAACTAGCAATTTTGGTGACTTAGAAACGTGTCAGTGAACTGAGCTTCATAGCATGGCCTCTTAACTTCTTGTGAGTGATTATGAGTGACTACAGCGGGTGACTTCTCTTAGGCCAGGTAAATAGAGCTCATTGGATACAAACGCCCACAAACGCTACAATGGAAAAGTCAAAGGAGCTCAGCATGGATCTGAAAAAGCGAATTATTGACTTGAACAAGTCAGGAAAGTCACTTGGGGCCATTTCAAAGCAGCTGCAGGTCCCAAGAGCAACAGTGCAATTAATTGTTTGTAAGTATAAGGTGCATGGCACTGTTTCATCACTGCCAAGATCAGGAAGAAAACGCAAGCTATCACCTGCTGCTGAGAGAAAATTGGTCAGGAGGGTAAAGAGTGAACCAAGAATCACCAAAAAGCAGATCTGCCAAGAGTTAGAAGCTGCTGGAACACAGGTGTCATTGTCCACAGTCAAACGTGTTTTGCATCTCCATGGACTGAGAGTCTGCCGTGCAAGAAGGAAGCCCTTGCTCCAAAAGCGGCACCTTACGGCTCGACTGAAGTTTGCTGCTGATCACATGGACAAAGATAAGACCTTCTGGAGGAAAGTTCTGTGGTCAGACGAAACAAAAATCGAGCTTTTTGGCCACAATGCCCAGCAATATGTTTGGAGGAGAAAAGGTGAGGCCTTTAACCCCAAGAACACCATGCCTACAGTCAAGCATGGTGGTGGGAAAATTATGCTTTGGGGCTGTTTTGCTACCAATGGAACTGGTGCTTTACAGAGAGTAAATGGGATAATGAAGAAGGAGGATTACCTTCACATTCTTCAACATAACCTAAAATCATCAGTACGAAGGTTGGGTCTTGGGCGCAGTTGGGTCTTCCAACAGGACAATGACCCCAAACACACATCAAAAGTGGTAAAGGAATGGCTAAATCAGGCTAGAATAAGGGTTTTAGAATGGCCTTCCCAAAGTCCTGACTTAAACCCCATTGAAAACATGTGGACAGTGCTGAAGAAACAAGTCCATGTCAGAAAGCCATCAAATTTAACTGAACTTCACCAATTCTGTCAAGAGGAGTGGTCCAAGATTCAACCAGAAGCTTGCCAGAAGCTTGTGGATGGCTACCAAAAGCGCCTAATTGAAGTGAAAATGGCTAAGGGACATGTAACCAAATATTAGCACTGCTGTATGTATATTTGTGACCCAGCAAATGTGATCACTTTTCTCTGTTAACCCATAATAAAGACATTAAAGAACCAAACTTCATGAATGTTTTTTGTGACAAAGAAGTATCTGTTCCAATCACTCTATCAGAGAAAAATCAGAGTTTTAGAAATAACGGGACACTCAGTAGAGCCATTATAGTACATGTTTTACAAGTGTATGTAAACTTCTGACCACAACTGTAGCAGGGCAATGGCTGACCCAGCACTTCAACTGAATGATTTAGCTGTATTTCTTTACCTCTGACTGCCCATTATAATATATATTTTCCAAAAAAATGGTTTGTGTGTTATTTAGAGATGCCATACAATAGTTTACATGTGTGTGTTCTGAATTTTTGGTAATTGTGCTTTTTTCAGTGTTCTTTCAAAAAATAAGCCTTACTGAATGTACAAAATTAGCTTATTCTGCAAAATAGCATTTTGACATGTGTCCCTTTGAGTGTGCTTGTGCAGGCATGTGTGTATGTAGGTATCAAAGCACTTTACAGATCTTCAAAAGACAGATCTGTGATCATTATCTGGAGTGGTTGAGCAGGTGTGGGCCATGGGGGGGGGGGGGGGGGGGGGGGGGGCAAAGGTTCTCACACTCTGTTGACTTCATGAATATTCATCAAAGGCATGCTATATATCAAAAATCAAAGGATTTTCTGCTAAATTTCAGATACTCACTCACAATTTTACTTTTGCAAAATATTATTTCGATAAGTACAAAGCATTTGCATGGATGAAAGCTGAGATTAAGGCTGAAAAACTTCAAAGGCGTACATTTGTTTTACAAAACAAATTCCTGCAGAGCCGAGTTTTGTTTACATTCAGTTAGGGGCCGTTTACACAGGTACAGATTCAGTAGGCTCCTGGATGATATCAGCTTGCTCTAGCTGCCACTGCCAGCTCACCGTTGGAATTAAAAGCTTTGCCTGATGTTGACAGAATGTCTGCTTGGACAGTCCC